GCAAGACCAGTTTTTGCTACCTTCGGTATAAGCACAGAAAAGAGGTGGCCATTGTACTATAGGACTTCTAATAGGGATAGAAAATTTACTATTTTAACTTGTTCAGGCTTTGGCTATGTACTCAAAAATTATAGTGCTAAATACTTTATATGGATATGAAAAATAGGTCTGCTCTCCTTTTCCTTACAGGATTGTTCTTTGTGTGCTTTGAATTCTCCCAATTTTCTCACAGAAATCTTAAAATATCTTTTACGGAACATGAGGTTGTTCCCAGTGTGCTTTTGCCTTGTTACTTCGATAACTTTTATCTCTACTGAAAATAATTGCAATTTCTTAACCTTTGTGTAATAGTGTTTTCATACCTCACCATCTCAGTAACTCGTCTCTGAACTTTGCTGTACTTATCCTTTTGGACAGAGTAAGAAGTATGTCAGAGAAGATAGCATAAAGAAAAATACATTTTTTTTTTTTGTTCTCCTTGTTGTTTTGGGTTTGGGTGGGGTTTTTCTGCATATTATTGGCTGGGGGAATGGCATTGATTTAAAAAAAACTAAACCAAAAAGCCCAAACCAAAACCAAGCTGCTTTTGATAAGTTTCTCTCCTCATGAAACAACAACTCTAAATTAGAATGCTCTGTCATGAAGAAAATATTTTAGAGTTTGATTTTCTTACTGATGATTATTAGTTTATACTTGGTACTGGGTTTAATTTGCCTTTGGTTATCTGTTTCATTTAGGTTATTCACATTTCTCTCATTCCTGTCTGGTTTTGATTAATATAAATCATTTTGTCATTTACTCAGTGCCTACCCTATCTTACACTTTCCACTCCCACTTGCCTGCTGTTTTCTGCCAACCAAACTACAACTCCTGTTTTTATTGAAGTGGCATCTGCTGTGTATAATGGTACCACAGCCGTTACCTCCTTCGGATGCCTGGAACATCTCTTCCAGATAAGCTTGGACCTTGGCAGCTTGAGCTGCCTCTTTTCCTTTGCAAGGTTTAGTTTATGATACTGTATCATAACGGTATGTGATGTGGGATTGCAAAAAGGAGACTAAAACATAATTACTCTCAAAGTTAATTAAGAGTAAAACCTTTCTATCTTCGTGAATCCACCCGGTATGTTCTAGTGAGGCTGTTTCTCTACAAGAGGAGTGCTAGCCCTTGGTTTTGTGGAAGAATGAACCTCTAATGGCAAAAACCCAGGCAAATTTACTTGAAGACAAATCTTACAATAGAACTGTGCTTAAATAGGGTTATAACTGATAGCAGTAAGTACTGATTAGCAATAAAACCAGAAAGTGTTGCACCCGGTAAGGTTCAGTTTCTCTCATTATGCTTCAGGACTTCATAGTGGTAGAACTGTAGAAATGGGCAACAAAACATTAAAAATGCTTTTGAATCATCAGGTTAAGATTTTAAAACAGAAGCGTGAGGAATAATCATCAACTTACTTGGCAAAGCTCAGACTGCAGGCAGGGCTGAATTGTGAAGTAATGGGGGCTGCGTTTCCAGTTAACACAGTAGTGCTGCTGTGGCTTCTGAATATCCTTGTGTGCGACGGGGTTTAGCGCTGCTTGAGGAGCAGGCTCCTGAGGGCTTCACTTGAAGGCGAGAAGTTGTACTTTCGATGCCTGCTGTTGCTTGAAGCAAACCCCTGCCGGCTGTAGCCCTCGGTCCCTAACCGAGCCCGAGCCCCAGCCCCGCGGCAGGGCGAAGGCCTCTCCTCACACAGCTGCCTGTGCAGCCCAGGAAGCGTGCGTTCATCCCGGCACCGCGGGGTGCTGGAGCGGTCCCGGCAGCACGCCGTGCACCCTCTGTTCCTCACAGGAGCCGCTGCGGCCTCGCCGTGTTCACAGACACGCGTCGGAGGGAGCGCAGCCGCCATTACCCGCGGGGAGCGCTGGGTAAAGGGCGGGAAGCGCGCGGCTCCCCTCAGGCGGGCCGCCATCACCTGAGGCGAGCCGGCCGGAGCCGATGTCGGCGGCTCCTGCAGCACTGACTTCTTTTGTCTCCGAGGTCAATAGGCCGCTGACAAGTGGCTGCTCGAGGTCAGGTAGTTTTGCCTTCCCCAGTTCCTCCTCCATTTGGATGTGTTAGGCAGCCTTAGGAGTATTACACTTTCCGGCCTTTCAATAGACAAAAAGAAAAAAAGCCTATAAAAAATTGACTTTTGAGGTACAGCTCTTTATTTTCTCCTATTAATTTTAAAGTCACTTCAGGAATTGGCTGGGTCTGTAACTAGAGAGCTGCACACCATCCCAATAACTTCCAGTTAATACTTTGAAGTAGTTACGTGATGCTTTTGTAATGCTTCCCCTTGACCAAAATGCATTTTCGAGAAAACAAGTAAGTCCCAGTAAGAATCCCACTACGTTTTACACCCATCGTGAAAATTAAGCATGTAAAGAGCTCCAGTATGGTTTTGGAGATAACCTAAAAACGTGGTTGTATATGGCAGCATTTTTGAGGCTGTGTTGGAGGAAGTTGTTAGTGCTTATGAGGGGCTTCTCACCTATTAAATAGGAAAAGATGTGTGCTTGTCAGGTGCTGGGATATTGATAGGCGAGATCTTCATTTGGCTGTGCAGGTTTTGGGATTTGAAGTGCTTGTCTTGGTAAATTGTGTCTGAATGTTACTGAGAAGTGGTTTTGCCAATGAACTTTGTAGGGTTTTGTTTAACAAAAATCAAATCACACTGGAGGCTTGTGACGCTGCAATAAAAAGATTAGGGATAGCTTCTAATGCCTTTTAAAAGCTGTTTAATGCTGGTTGTGTCAAAGTAAGCAATTAGGGTCACTTAATCTACTTGATGATTCATCAATTTCCTCTAGTAGTATTCCATGCTTTTGGATATGGGAAAATGTGCGTCTTGAGTAGGCTGCCTCACCACTTCGTAGCCCTTGGTACAGAGCACATATATGTAATAAGAAAACCAAATAAAGAAAACTTGATTATATGACAGTTCACGGCACAAGCGGGCTGTAAATGAACACCCTTGTGTTGCTATAGCTTCAAGAAAAAAAGAACATGTCTAAAAATAAATAGTCATTTAAAGCAAATTGGTCAAATAAAGTAGTATTAATGGATTAGACCTTACACAGTCCTTATGCATTTGTGTTTAAACTAGGTCAGATTGTTTTAAGTTTAGATGATGTGCATGAGGTTTGCTTATTCTTCATTTCTGTGATGCTGCATAAGTCCATGTGGAGTGGTAACAGTGGGCTGCTTAGTTCAGATGTGGAGGGGTGCAGTGGGTGCTTTGAGACCTCATACAGTGTCAGTGGCAACTGCAGCAACTGGGTGCCTCAGACTGTTTTGGTTGGCATCCTGAAGCCCTAGTTCTGTCCTGAGTTGTTATGGTGGATGCACTGTAGGCTTAGCTTGTAGGGAAGAAAAATGTGTGGAAGAGTAGGTATGTGCTGTGCAGCTCAAAGATCAGGAACAGGGTATGTCCAAGGAATGATTTCGGGGGAACCAGGACACCCAGAACAGTGTGGGAGAGCTGTAAGTTGTTCTGCCACATCTACCTGCTCTGTCTCCTTTGCCCAGCACAGAATGGCAAGTGGGCAGGTCATAATGACCCATGACTGCACAATTTGGTGTGGTCACCAAGTGACTAAATCCACACCAATTTAGAAAAACATAGGCAGAAAGATCTCAGCTGCCCTCTTAAAAGGGATATAGTTTCTGACAATGGAATTTGGTGTTTGCTCTATGGTGTTGGCAACAGAAAAGTCAACAGACTTTCTGATGGTGTTCAGTCACTTTTTTTAGAGTAGCATACTGACGGTTGGACACTTGAAGAGTAATTTCAGTCTGTACTGCAAAGCTGTTCAGCATTCTGTGTCAATAGCTGTGTTCTCTTATGCTGTTCCATCATGAAAAGAACAGGAAGGTGTACCAGGTTCATGCATTTAGTACTGGATGTTATTAATATATTAACACAAATTAACAAAGTTGTGATTCACATAATGTAAAATGTTATGGTTGTGTTAATACCTTGAACTTCTGCAAACTGAGCAGCCATGAGAGTGGTGGGAAGTGCTGCTGGCCAGATGGGAATTCACCTGGATGCTCTCCCAATCTGCTGCTTTCTCTCTCCCTGCAGGCGCAGGGAGGTTTTACAAGATGGAAATCCATGGGTAACTTTCAGCTGGTGTAACCTTCAGGATCCCGAACTGGTTGATAGCGAAGCAGGCACAACATTTCTATAGTTGCGGTGGAGCCAAGGGATAAAAAAAAGCTGCGAATCAGGGAGTCATAACTAGCTTTCTGATGCTCCACATTTTCTGTGCCAAACATATGTTGGGATAGAAGAAAGTCTGATTCTAAATACCAAAGTGTGGGCAAGATTTAACGAAAGTTTTCTGTAAAAGCAACCAAAGCTCTAAACTGTTGCTATATTTTGCTGCATGCAGTGTGCATATGTGATTGTATAAATGGACTTACCCAGTACAGAATTGTGTTGTAGCTGCTGATAAGACGTGCTGTTACAAACCCAAGGGTAGAAATCTGGTTTGCCATAACTCTGCAGGTAGCAGGCATCGTGTTCTGTTCTTAGGCATACATAAAATATTTCTACAGATCTGCTGACTCAAATGTGCAAAACCAAAGGTTTGAATTCTAAATGTACTACTGGATCTTTGCTAGCAAGTTGATTGGTTTTGTGTGAAGCATAAAAATGGTTTTAAAGATGATCTTCAGTTCCTGCAGAGCACTGAATAAAAGATTTAAATGTATTCTGAATTACTAAATAACAGCTTCAGTGCTGTAAAAAAGCCCAAATTAGCAACAAATAACCCTTCTAAACATAAAGTGTTTAAGAATACAGTAAGGCTATCTGGGCCTTTGAAGTGTTTGCAGGGTTTATATTTGTGTGTATATATATATATATATATATATATATATATATATATACAAAAAAGTGTTTTAGCACCATCTCCACACTTTATAGCCAGAAGTGTTTCTCAGTTTTTACCTCTCCCTTCTGACAGGATGCCTGGTCCTTGTGACAGCCAGAGTGGGGCACGGAGGCAGTGCGGGGAGGCTTGGAGCAGGTAAAGTGTTCTGCTTCTGAATGCTACGTTTGACAGCTGAGTACAGTACACGTGTTTTGTGGCAGCGTGTTCAGGTGGAAGGCAGGGGTGTGGGTTCTGACCGGTTTTCCCGCGGTGCTTTCTCTTGTGACTGGGGGCAGAGGGCTGGGTGGCCGCACCACGGAGTGCCGGTTTGTTTTCCTTGCTCTTTGTGCCCCAGTTCCTGTGAGGAAGCGAGAACTAAAGCCAAGTGAGGTGTGAGCACTGACTTACCTGAAACTTCTAAATGTAAAGATTAGTACTTGTTTTACGGATGTTGCAAATCTAGCTGGGGAGTCACCTCCAGCTCTTAGCTAAACCGTGGGAGTCTATCCCATGCTCATGATGTGTCAGAACTCTTTTATTCTCCTGCGGTGTTTGGCGGCTATACTTGAGCAGTTATCAAGCGTTTTCCGGGTTCATCTCACCCCAGCCCTGTACGGACACCCCCAGTTACTGTATGCGGCCGTTCCCGGGCCCTGCTTCGCGCCGTTCCCGCGGGCGCTGCTCCGCAGGGGAGGGCTGGTGCCCTCACCGCCCGGTGACAAACCCCTACGGGCGCGCGTGAGGCGCCGCCAGCACTGCTCAGGGCCCCAAGACGGGGATGCACCTCAGCCCGTCCCAGGGGACCGCGAAGAAGCGGGCGGCAGTAGCCCGGCCTCTTGCAGGTGCCAGAGGCGCGGAGCCCGCCCTGGTCCCGAGAAGGGAAGGGACTACTGGAGGAAGATGGCAGGCGGGCCAGCACCGCCCTGTGCCGCCCCCCACCCTCCCGGCCGGCCGGCTGGGGAGGAGCTGCCCTGCCGCTCCCTCGGGCCGCCAGCGCCGCGGCAGGCCCCGGAGCTTAGCGCAGCGCTTCTCCGGGCGCCGCCGCCTCCGCCGGGGCGGAAGGGCCGCTCCGCTCCCCCGCGCGCAGATCTGCTCCGTGTTTTCCGGGCCTTTCCCTTGCTCTCGGGCCCCAACACTCGAACGTGCTGCGCGGGGCTGGTCCCGGCGCAGTTCGCCATTGGCCGCGCCGCCATAGCCCCATGGGCGTGCGGGCCGCGCATTGGCCCGGCGTCGCCGTCCATCAGGCAGCGGCGGACTGCGTCAGGTTGGGTTGAGCGGCGTCCCCTTCCCTGCCTGTGTCTGGCGGCGGCTGCGGCTGCGGGGCCGGTGCGGGCGGAGGGGCGCAGCGGAGGGCGGCCCGCTCCCTCGCTCGCTAAGATGGCGGCGGCGGCGGCGGCGGCGGCCGTGGCGCGGCTGGAGGGCCGGGAGTTCGAGTACCTCATGAAGAAGCGCTCGGTGACCATCGGCCGCAACTCGTCGCAGGGCTCGGTGGACGTGAGCATGGGCCACTCCAGCTTCATCTCCCGGCGCCACCTGGAAATCTTCACCGCCGCTCCCCCGCCGCCGCCACCGGCCGGCGCGGACGGACCGCCGCCTCCGCCTCAAGGGGACCCCGCAGCTGCTACCGGTGGCGGCGGAGGGGACTTCTACCTGCGCTGCCTCGGCAAGAACGGCGTCTTCGTGGACGGCGTGTTCCAGAGGCGGGGGGCGCCGCCGCTGCAGCTGCCCCGAGTGTGAGTAAACCGGCGGCTGGGCCTGCTGTCCTTCCTCGGCACACCGGGGCCGGCCCTGGCCCACCCTCCGGCGCCCCGCCGCGCCGGGCTGCCCTGTCCTCCCAGGGAGGGCTGGCTGTCGCGGCTTGGGTGGTGCTGCTGCTCATCCGCGCCGGTTCTCCCCGTTGCCGTTTGGCTGGCACATGGTGCTTGACAGGCGGGGAACCGGCCTCGTCCGGGAGATACACGCGAGCGGTGCCCTAGGCCTCCTTCCCGCCAGTCTCCCTCCCCGCCGCCCGGCACCACCCGGGCACCGGCGCCTCCGCATGCTGCCCTCGAATATGTCCTTCCTCCGGCGGCACGTCCAGCTCCCGCTCCAGCCCCATCGACAGCCGGTGGTACAGGTGGGAAGCGTGAAACCCCGGCAGTGTTGGGGCTGGGGGTTGACAAATGGTCACCCTACTCCCGTGCCATGTCTAGCACGTAGCATAATCTGAGTTTGGGAGCAAACCCATCTGCAGCAGTGCTTGGAGGTATTGTAATTAGCAAACAGAATTGGATATACTCTTGAGTATTGTTTACGTGCTTCAAAGGAAACCATTCAAGTGGTTGTCCACATATTTGGGATTTCTGAATTTCAGATCAGTGCCGAGTACACCTTGTAACATCTTCGGTGCATTTGGAGAGTATGGGGTGACTGTTTTATGCCTGTGAATTTGTGGTATCTTTTTCCTCTTTACCTAATTGTAACGTTTATTTATCTATGGGTAGACTGAATCATCCACGTGAAATACTTCTGCTAGTTTCAGTGTTTAACATGTGTTTCCTTACATGAAAACAAATGCCTTAAGAGTTTTTAAATGGTAATACATTCCTTTAGCATTACAAAGCATTAACTCATTTTCTAGGGGTATATGCAAGGCCTACCTACTTCATTTACTGTAAATGAGTAATCTGTGTTTTGGGGAGTTTCATGTAGGAAAAGTGAAAGTGTCTTGGTTTAGTATATTTTAGCTGTCTTGACTTAGGAATACTTAAAAGGTTATGAGTGCTTTACCTTTATAAAACATACACCATTAGTGGCATAGTCTTAACGGCTTACAAGTTCTTAAACTGTATTTAGCATATTGATGGTGGATATTTTCCACTTCGATGTCTTAATGTTAGTTTCCCCACCTGGTACCTCTGTGCAAATCAAATTGTCTACCTTTCTGCTTTCTAGGAAATGCTTCTTCTGAAAGGGTTTACAAGTGCCAGTACATGTAGAGTTGTATAATCATGAATGCAGTTGGAGGACTTGTTTGGCCTTTAAATTGAACTTCTAATTTTGCTTTCTGCTTTTTAATATTAATAATTATTTGCCATGTGGTTAATCTGTATTTTAATCTAAAGCATGTATGAAATATCAAATGTTTCCTTTTTAAACAGTTTGGTATAAGACATTAATTGTAAGCAAATAATTGAGCATTATATAGGTTGATTGCAAGAAGCCTAGAATTAGTTTGAGTAATGTAGTCACTAGCATTCTGTTAAATACTTAAGACCTCAAGAAAAGAAAAACGAGCCCTGCTTCTCCATGCTGGCTATGTATTTGTTCACTTGTAATTTATTTTATTTCTTTATACCAGTTTTGCTTTTTTAAATGGGAAGAAAATTCTGAAGGATTTTTAGGTGTCACCTTTGTATTGAACAATGATGAAAACTTGTGTGCGGTTAACATTTCTTCACGAGTGCATGTGGGTGGTGTTACCAGCACTTGCTTGAAACTGACTGTTCAGTGATTACACCATTTCTTAGACTGCACACTGCTAGTCTTCAGTTTCAAGATCTATAAGCTGGCTGAAGTACTTATCTCCTGGTTACAAAATGTAGGTGTGATCTTCCACCAAGTCTTGTAAATAAAAGGTGGCATACCTTCAGTCCTGGCTGGGAACAATGGAGCGGTGTGTATGCTGGCTTTCTTGAGTCAACAAGCAAAGGGTGTTATCTTGAAGGGCAGGCAAAACCTCCAGGGTCATAGTTAGACTGCTGATTAAGATCAAATACTGCTTTATTAAAAAAAAAATATTTATAAAAGGAAAGTCTGACTGGAGTTGTGTAGGGAAATAGTAGTTTCATTATTTGCAAAGCTTTTTTTGTTTGTTTTAAACACGGGAGTCTTCAGGCAAATTCAAAGCAGACGTTATCTGCTTATAGCAAGTCATTACTGTGAATTACACATGACTAATATTGTTGGTAGCTGTGTTCTTGAGTTTCATTGTAGATTTAGCTGGTCACACTGAAGATGATCTCCTGGATTTTTCAGATTCAAACTGTGTCACTCCAGTATAATGTAAACAGTAATTAACAGTTGAAATATGATTGGAAAGAAAGTAGTTTTGGTGTCAGTTCAAGACTGATGATTGCTAACGTCCAGCTCAAGTAATCACTAGATCTGTTTTTGTTGTTTAATCCTGCTGTGTTGCCAGTAATATGCTTTGCCTATGACTACATTATTATTTGAAATTTTAATGGCAGGTGAAGTTTAAAAAAATCAGGGAGGCCTGTTCCTTGGTTTGTTTTTAAGTCATCCTGGAAACCAAGAATGGAGGGTTTGTTTCTGGTTTGTCTAATTAATAGTGACTTTCAGATGACTTCAAGTAAAATATTGTAACAGACTTGAAATGTCTGATTTGTCACTAATAATTTTTGCAGTTCCAGTGCAGTGGTAAAGTATTGCTTTATGCTGTTGAACTTTCTGTTTTTGGAATGAAAAAAACAGAAATACAACTTTGTAATCTATGCAAAACACATTTTTAACACCTGGAGAAGTTAAATTATTGATGTTAGAGTATACTTTTACCTGTAAGAAAGGCATCTTTGTTTCTACAGATACAAATGCCATGAAATGTGGAATTACTGTGCATTAAGATAACTGTTCTGGTTGTTATTTTTAATACTTCCATGGAAGTCTTGCTCACAATTCAAATGTTTAAGTTCTCAAGCAGGAGGTAACAGCAGTGGGAAGTGTGTTTTTTGTTTTTCCAATTCTTGACAGACTCACCTACCTACTTGTGCATATACAAACCAGCTGTCGTCTTGTTAGAGAAATAAAATGGGGGCTGGAGGGAAAATAGCAATGTTTTTGTTCATGTCCAGTAAGCAGGTCTCCCGTCAGTGTCATGACACAGAGGCGTGGGATGAAAGAGGTTTTAGTCTCCTGTTACAAATCAAAGCAGCTCAATTAGTCTTTTACAATTACCTTTAAGATGCACAGACTGTTACTCTCCAGTTCATAAAGTTCATAGTTTTTAATTGGTTTAATTTGGTGCTTGTCAGATGTTCCTGGACTTCAGTGAAAGCTGTATTGCTAGGTAAATAATAACATCAGTATTTGACTTTTGAGGTACTTGGCCTGAAAAATACCTTTTGTACTGGGCCTGGCAGCAGTTGTTGACAGAGCTT